AGGTGCTAACTTTAAAAGGAGTTGGGTTTGCAGGAGGCACAGGAAAACTCCTTGCAAAGCAATGCCATCATTTTGACTCAGAAACTTGAAATAATATCCCTACTGCTGCTGTGTCTTTATGAGCTTTGAAAACTGATCCTACCATTTCACAGCTTCCCATGCTATTGTCCTTTTTATCCAATTGTGTTTAGTAATTGGGGATTATTACTAAAGTATAATGGATAGTCGCTATTTGGATCATTCATACATTTATTTTTTTATTTTATTTTAGTACAGAGACAGAAGAAAAAAAAAAGCACCTACCACCATTTTCCCTACTTAAAGCACTAAGTGTAAAAAGGCAGTTTAGAATAGTGGTTAAGGATATGAATTTCCCCACCCTATTACTTGGGGTGACTTAGGCAAGTATTGAAATGCTTTAAACCTCCATTTTCTAATTAAACAAAATGGCAACTTTCTCATGGGGTTATTGTAAAGATTAAATGAGATGATGCTTATATAATAACACATATCTGACACATACAGAGTTTGTGAGGTTATTAGCTATAAGCACCGTTGTGAACTTACCTACAACTCTTCTAATTTCCAGGATTAAAGCTACTATTGCCAAGACTGGAGCCCTCTGAGAAATGGTGTTCCATGGTGTGTAATTAACAATGACCCTCAAGAGGAAGTTACTCTTATTGCCTTTCTCTTCTCCGCCTCACTGACATTTGGTATGTGTCTGTCTCCACTACTAGATGCTGAGTTCTTTGAGGAGAGGTTCTATGCCTTATGCCTCTTTGAATTGCTGAGTCTGGTTAATTGCAGACTCTTACTAAAGGAATGTATAAATGAACATGTATGTAAATAGACTTGAAACATTCATTTCAAAGTTGTACTGTTTATGTCATTTTAAGTAATTATCTAAAAAATAATTTATTTTAACTGGGTCTTAAAAAGCAATCTAGGCATTATAGCTACAAACAAAGGAATAGTTAACAATCATATAATGTTCTTTGTTTACTTCTCCAAAAGCATGTCCAGTTAAGGCATTTTACATCTGAGATATCTATTTGATATCTAAGTGGAGGGAGTTGGATATAAGTTTGGAGAGGTCCTACATTTCCAGAAACGTACAGAAGTTCATACGTTTGGAGAAAATTAGGAGTTGTCAACCGATGGATACTTAGAGCCACGTGACTGAATAAGATCACCCAGGGAGAGGATATGAGTTAAGAGAAGAAACGGTTTTAAGACAAAATCCTGGAACATTCCAAAGCTTAAGAGTTGGAATGAGAAGTCACAAAGACACTGAGCTGAACAGGGTCAGAAGGTCGGAGAAATTAGGAGAGCCAAGAGAAAGCCAGTCATCAGATGTTTAGCTCTCATTGTCTCTCTCTGTCTTCCATCTCATTCTCTGATTCCTACCATTGATCTCAGGAGATGTTGCCAATTTTGGTGCTGTATTTGGATCCACATCCTTAGTTTTCTTATGACTCTGTGCTCCTCAAGACATGTCATGCCCTGTTTTGCATGCGTCTTCAAATTTGGCCCACCTAACGCTTTAGGATCGAGAGCAGGGGTCCGCAAACTTTTTAAACAGGGGGCCAGTTCACTGTCTCTCAGACCGTTGGAGGGCCGGACTATTGTTTAAAAAAAACCTATGAACAAATTCCTATGCACACTGCACGTATCTTATTTTGAAGTAAAAAAACAAAACGGGAACAAATACAATATTTGTATTTGCATGTGGCCCACGGGCCGTAGTTTGAGGACCCCTGATCTAGAGAGTGAAGGTCAGGGGTGTCCCTATGCCTGCTTCAGCTCACATCCATCATGTTGTACCTTGCCCTTCCTTATTCCTTACCTCACTTGTCATCCTCTCAACTGGAGGAAAAGAAGAGATAGCTGCTCTTGATGCTCTTGGCTTCGGACCCCCTGATTCAGTTTTCAGGTGAGTACCTTGCACCCATTTAACTTATCCTGCACCCTGTTTTTCTGGACTTCCTCCTTGCCTGTGTATTGTATTCTTTTTCCAACTATGGGCATTTGGCCACTTTGGACCAACAACCTTGTTCTTTTCAGTAAGTCCCAGAGCCCTTTTATCTCTGCACAACCCCACCTCTAGTACACCCCATTTTCAGTGGCTAGTTCTCTTGCTGGGACCCTGCGGGACATTTGAGCCATATTTGGAATAAGGTCAATTCTCCTGAACACAGCCGAATATATTGCCCACATTTTTTACCACGTGGGATCTCAAAGAGTCTGGAAAATAAAAAATTCCCTGGAACAGAGGTGTATAAGATGGAATAAAGCAAATATTTGATTCTCAACCTGCAATTGGTGCTTGCTTCCAGCAATTACATGCTAAATCAGTAAGAATTTCTTGAGAAAGTACCAGAGAGTTTAATTAGCAAACAACACCTGATATTTCCCCCTAGAGATTGTGGAGCATAAATTAAGAAACTAGAATCCCAAGATAATTACATAGGTCCTAGAATTATTTTAATGGGTTGTTATTTGAGGGATCTATAATCATTGGTTTGTTCCCTTTTAGCCTAAATTCTTACTAAGTAGGGTTAGAAATGTTTATGGGAATGGTGATTGCGATCTAATAATAAGCATTAGAATTCCTAATTTTCAAGGCCATTGTATCACTAAATCACTAGAAACAAAGTAAAGAATTTCCAAGTCTAGTTTTCCTATGTGTGTTGGCTAATGATGCTTGATATAGAACAGCTGTATTCTTTCCTTCAGTCCTTCATTTAACAAGGTAGATATCTGCAGAGATTTTCACTCATTTTTATTAGATTTTTATATGTAATTGTGTCTTTGCTGCTTTCAAAATAAAACATGTTTTATTCCATTGTGAAACATTCAAACAATACAGAAATTAAGAAGGAATTTAGAAACTCAAAGTCCCCACAGGTTCTTTTTTCCTTAAATATAATCCTTCTTAATGGTTTGGTGTATAATCTTTTGAATATTTTTGTATTACAAACGTGGAATATGGTACATATTCTGGAGAAACTTGATTTTTTTTACTTGATAATATATCTTTGATATCTGTCTACATCAGTACTTGCAGCTCTCATTATTTTAACAGTTATATGTATGAATATACCAAAATTTATTTAGCCAAAAATGTGCAGTTTTTTACCAACACAAACTGCAAAAATTAACATCCATGTATATATTTTTTGCACACTTGTGTGAGCTTCTGTAGGATACACTCCTGGAATTGGACTTCTTAGGTTAAAAGATATCTGCACCTAAAACTTTGAAAGGTAACTACCAAATTGCGCTCTTTAGAGGTTGTTTCATTTTTCATGCACATCAATAATGTATGCAATATTCGTGTTCTTAATAAACATTGACTAACAATGAGTATTTTGATTGCATGGACATGGTAGACAGAAAATTATATCTACTGAAATTTGCATTTTCTAAAAGATATTGTATGATTAAACTAGATACTATTTTGTAAAAATATAAAGCAAGTATTTTTAGTGATTGCTTTTTAAAAATTGTAATTATTATCAGTGCTTAAAAGCATAACAAATGTATCTTAAGAACAAGGCAAACAGTGTGTACACATATACATTTAATGCATATATATTACATTGGGTCAATTGCTAGGTCACATGTATCCTATATAAGAAAAGCTTAGGTGGCGTCACACGCAATGTCATCACAAGATGGCTGCCACAAGATGTCCATCACAGGAGGGCAGTTGGGGGCGACCAGGTCGGCAGGGGAGGGCAGTTGAGGGAGACCAGGCCTGCAGAGGAGGGCAGTTGGGGGCGACCAGGTCGGCAGGAAAGGGCAGTTGGGGGCGATAAGGCCGGCAGGGGAGCAGTTAGGAGGCAATCAGGCCTGAACCAGCAGTTGGACATCCCCCAAAGGGTCCCAGTTTGGAGAGGGTGCAGGCCAGGCTGAGGGACTGCTCTCCCCCCATCCCCTCCATGAACGAATTTCATGCTCAAGGCCTCTAATAAATGAATAAGGACTGATGTTGAAAGATGAATAATGATATGGTGCACAATACTAATCTAAGCAAATAAGTAGGAGAGGAAGTTGTTAAACATAGTTTGAGAACTAGTCAAATTTCAAGTTATAGTTGGAATATTAGGATTAATGTACTAGTATAGCATTTAAGCTTCTAGTCTTAGTATGAAGTGTTAGTGTTTTGACAATAGTCTTTAAAATCAACATCCAAGTACACTTCTTGAAAGTACACCAATAATGCCCTGACCTGTTTGGCTCAGTGGATGGAGCATCGGCCTGCGGACTGAAGGGTCCCGGGTTCAATCCCGGTCTAGGGCATGTACCTTGGTTGTGGGCACATCCCCAGTAGGGGGTGTGCAGGAGGCAGCTGATTGATATTTCTAACTCTCTATCCTTCTCCCTTCCTCTCTGTAAAAAAATCAATAAAATATATTTTTTTAAAAAAGAAAGTACACCAATAATGAACTTTCCTGTTGGTCATTATTTTATTTTGGGTAGCTGCAACAATATCATAGGGCATTCCGAACATGCGGGTTCCCCTGACCCAAGATCATTCCTGGAATATTTATCTTTGGAATATCCAAAGATAGCAACCTCATTCCTCCTCCGTTCTTTTCCACTAATGAGCTCTGTATCTTCTATGTTTGTTAATACAGATGGCTCTTTTTCTGTACCACGAATGGTGTGGTGTCTACGAGTTGTTTGTGACATCGTCTTGTAATGCAGTTTGTTTTCACTATGTGTCAAGTCCCAAGCTACAGGTTGGATGAAAATATGGTCAAGCTTAATTAAGGAGCGAAGTCAGGAAATGAATAGGTCGCCAAATAGCTAAGAACTGGATCACGTGGAAGAAGGGACAGTGGTATTGAGGTCAGGCCCACAGTAGTCTTTCAGTTTTTTAAGAAAAGGTCAAACCAGAGCAGCTAATGTGATGAAGTTTAAGAGAGAAGAATGCAGGCTAAGAATGTGCAAATGTCAAGATGTCAAAGAACTGAAATCCCACTGACTATGGATATCATACGGTTGTAGAACAGTTCATTTGCAGCTACATTCACCTCATCTTACTACCCAGTGGCAGACTTCATAATTCTTAAGGAAGCACAAATTTGAATCTTATACATGATCTATGAAATGTGTTTATTTAAAAAAAAAAACAAAATTTTTCTATACATAAAAATCCTTAGAAAAATCTCTCTTCCTGTATGTAACACAGAAAACCCTAGTTTTCTAGGTTACCAGGACGATTTTCAGATTTATCTAAGTCAGAGATTTAAAACCTTTTCAACTCATGGCATATGTAAACTAATTACTAAAATTCTGTGGCACACCAGAAAATATGTTATATTTTTTTTGCCAATCTCACCAATACAATATAGACATAATTTTGTTTCATTCACACCAGATGGCTATTGTTGTGTTGGCTGTTGTCATTGTTTTATTTGATAATCTAAGGGAAAAGAGGTCAGTGCTCCTGACTTAAATAGTCAGGTATGGCATGTTTTAAAAATTCTTGTGGCACACCAGTGTGCCTGGCACGGCACACCGGCTGAAAATCGCTGACCTAAATTATAACCTACTTTAGTATGTTATTCAATGTATATTTAAATGGTTTGCTTTTGTGGAGTAAAAAATGCTAATGAGTCAGCAGATGGATACTGCAGAGGTTTCCAGATCTTGATGTAGTCTAAAATAAAACAAAACTTTCTTTGTATGGGTGGGATTTGGC